AAAAAATTACTTTCAGAGTTTTTTTTAAAAAGGGTACGACTGAATAGCCAACAGCGCAGACCATGATCAGACTGCACAGATGAGCCTGCTGACCTTGGTCTGCGCTGGTTGCATGGGTAGATTCAGTTGCCACCAGTAGGGGAAAAGCTATTTAAGTGTACACTGCATAACACTTAAACGAAGTCATTTTATAAGCTCTACATGCAACAAAAACTGCAAGTCATGTGACATGGTAACAACAAATAGATTAACAATGATAAAAACTTTCATACAGACAAGATTAAAGAAAGAAAATACTAAAACAAATATGTACAATTTTAAGACTTAGTAACAACAATTTAATCTGTAAATAGATGGCTATAGAACAATTGAGCAAACTTTTTGATAACTACAATATAAAATATACTCCATTTTTTCTATTTCAATTACAAAATTATTTCTCTATTTATAGAAAATCTAAATATAGTTTCATGATTCTGATCAAGAAAAAAATTTCAAAAATATATCACAGATAATTCTGAACTGTTTGTTTTTAGAACTGGAACTTAAAAACAAAATTGAGCCGCGCCCTGACAAAACCAACATAATGCGTTTGCGAACAGCATGGATCCAGACCCGCCTGCGCATCTGCACAGTCTGATCAGGATCTACGCTGTTCGCTATCAGTTTCTCTACTTGTAATAGGGTTTGTAAGCGAACAGCATGGATCCTGATCAGACTGTGTGGATGCGCAGGCTGGTCTGGATCCATGCTGGTCGCAAATGCATTACGTTGGTTCTGTCATGGCATGGCTCAAATGTTTACTTCATATAAAGAGAAGGCTTTTCATCGTAACAGTAAAAGAAAATATCACTCAAATAACATATTATTTTGACAAGTATTACAATCAAATAACATATTGTCACCTTACTGTAGTAACGGGTTAACTCCTATTAAATCATATAAGGAGTTAACCAGTTACTGCACTAAGGTGACGATATTATATGAAAATTCTTTGCCCTGCTGACACAGATTCCATTTAATATTTTAACATAAACAATTTAAGCTCACTTTGTTTTAAATATTAACATACATTAACAAGGTCAAAATATTACACACAAACTCAACATGTAACTATGCAAAATAAAGGCCTGAATATGAACTGTGACCTTGGATATATAAGTTCCACTTTTGTGCATTCCACTATTGACCTACACACATGTGTCCTTGACCTTGACATGTGTCCTTGACCTTGACATGTGTCCTTGACCTTGACATGTGTCCTTGACCTTGACATGTGTCCTTGACCTTGCAATCTTGTCTGACCTTGTGGGATACTGACCATACAGATACAGAACGTTTCTGTGTCTACTCAGTATTAAGTTCTGTTTCTGACCTTGACCTTATAATAGAAATCATAATCAAGTGTCTTTAACCTTGAAAAATTACGGTCTGTTCTTCCTGTGTTATACTTGCCAAGTAGGCAAAGAAACTAAACTTGTCCATGTTTACGCAACATGAAATTTTAGCTTTTCAGATTTGTTTTGATACTTCTTATCTTAAATTTTGTTTTCAAACAAAGCTGTAACCTTTTATTGTGACCTTGACCTTGTTTAACACGGCAGTCCCGTTTGAACAAAAATCTAGTCAATGTTTAAAGTTGACATGAGTCTGACTTACAGGCATAATGTTACCTATCTAGCAGTCCTAATATTATTAAGCTGATTATAAAAAAATTGTTTGCTTGCCACTTGTGGCCTGATCACCAAAATTTTGCTTGTACGAAATTTTTTATGGAAAACTATCTTTTTCCTTTTAAGGTTTCTGGACCTGTAAGCTGCTACTTTTCATGTTTCAGAGCCCCTAAAGAACCCCCAAAACATTTGCATGTGTTGAAACATAAATATTCTTCTGGCTTTTATCACTTAACCACTTATATTTTGTATTTTTATTAAACCTGTTAATCAATGGGTGAAAACAAAATTTAACCAACTATCCAATCTAAAGAAAACAAGTCAAACTTGGCAAACAAACAATTTTTTAAAGGTGGTTGAATAACAACACTTTATGAATACTATTCTAGCACTATTATGACAGAAAAATGGCAGAACAAAACATATAACCATGTAGGGAAATAGCCTTACTCCTATCTATATGTAAAAAACTCCTACAATTTAATCTATATGTAAAAAGTTATCCATTCAAAATTTAAAAACTGGTTTAAAGATAAGTTGTGACTTAAAACCACAAACAAATAACAAAATGTATTGTAATAGACGTAATATTAATATTCTTAATATTAAAAGAAAAACTAAAAAAAGACAAATTTCAAACACTAACATCTAAAATATCAAACTCTATTTGCAGTGGTCACCTATCAACAAAGACCAGTCTTTTATCTGACTTGGCCAATATTGGCAGTTGTCTATTTTCTAAATGTTTTATTTTCATTTGGCATTTATTCAATATATACAATATATAATTATAATAACTTAAAATTTAACAAGATGCCAAGATGATCCTATATCGCTCACCAGAATTTATAGAAAGAGTGACAAAAATAAGAAAAGTTTTCTCTATGAATATGGGAAACACAACCCCAACTGACAGTCTTGGAAATGTTTCTGTTTAATTATATCAATTTCTGACCAACAGATTTAACTACAACGTCATTTGATGTTTTTCGTATATTTTCAAACAGGTGACCCATCCTGTAGTGGACTGCCTCGCCAACCATAGTTCTGCATGAAATGACATTTCTTAAAATAAATTTTGAAAGAGGGTACCCCAAGGAACAATCCTATGAAGTTTTGATGATATTGACCTAGTGGATTTGGAGGAGATGTCGTTTAAAGAAGTGTCGACTGGTATACAATAAAAGGACGGACAACAGACAGTAAGCGATCAATATAGGCTCTCCGTTACCATGGTGAGCTAAAATTAAACAACAAACTTTGGTGATTTTCTTGTAAGTTTTGGTTTAGCACAAGGTGTTTATCACTAATAATTACATCTCTAACAGGGTAACGTGAACACTTTACAAACAATATCACGATTTTAGCTACATGAATCTAACAATTATTTAAATCGCACAATACCTCAAACATTCTACAGTACAACATGGTTGTAACTAATGTAAGTCTTTAAATTTGTTATGCTGCTACCTTAATACGCCAAGAATTCAAAGCAACACTTTTGTATTCATATCGTAACCAGACACAACAAATTATAATGCCAGAGGTTTGAATTCTTAATCTGGACATAAATTTTCACATTAAAAATTTTATCTTTTGTTTGTACATACAAGCTTTACTACATAAAAAAAATGCCCATACGTATTTTATGATAAGCTTCATAATTTCCTGGGTTTTTCTCCAACATAAGCACTACTACAATGTCAAAATAATGTACTTTCTGTTCATTCAATTTAGATAATTTTTAATCATTTTTCAAAAGGACTTTACTTCCTCACTCTGATTCCGCACTTTTTTCTGTTCCATTCGTACCAGCATCATCATTGTCTTGAATGCACCGGTTAACGGGTGGCGTAACATGTTCCGGTACACGGTTTTCCGGTTTTGTCAACATCCATAGTAAATCTTTATACTGCTTAGGCCAGTAATAAAACAAGCTATTGTAATTATCTAACATCCAGTTTGGAATAATATCCTGCACCATACCGGGGAAAAGTAATGGCACAAACCGGTTACATCTCTGACTACTTTGGATATATTCCCGGTACATTAGTCGGTAAATATTTTTGGTATGAAGTCGGTATGGCCGGTTGTTTAAGTCGTTTTCTCCGTCGCTGTCAACACTGTCCGAGTCGTCTGCATCGTTTTCCATCTCGCAAGAGTCCGCTTCCATTCTGTACTTCGGTGACATTACAACTAGAATAAAGTCAGCCTAAAATAAACGAAAGAAAAATAAAAACACATGTACAATCTATCAAGCTTACAAAGATACCCCATGCCTTTTAACCAACAGCATCAGTGGGGAAATACATTACTAGGGTTGGAGGAAATACACAAGTGGAATTTGAGGAAATACACTATTTGGGAAGGGGAAAATACGCAACTGGAATTGGGGAAAATACAACAATGGAATTAGGGAAAAACACCAGAGGGTTCAGGGGGCAAAACAGCAGTGGAACTTGGAGGTTGAAATACACTAGTGGAATAGGTGGGGGGAAGGATACATAAGTGGGGCTCCATGAAATACACCAGTGAAATACGAGGCAATACACAGCAGGAATAGGAGGAAATATACACCAGTAAAATTTGGGGGAAATACACCACTGGGTAGTGCGGGGGGGGGGGACGGGGGGGGGGGATAATACCAGTGGAATATAAGGGGGGGGGGGGAGAGAATACACCATTGGATAAGGGAAAAAAACTATACAATTCTTTGAATAACAATTTAATCACATTTAAATCCTTATGGTTTTACAACAGTCAGTATTGCAATCCATTTCCTTCTGTTTCATACAGAATGACTCATTTATACCAATGACTAATTGACTGCCATAAATTTTGAGTGACATGTTTTCTGCAAAGTATGTTTCATGTATGTGCAAGTTTGTTGTGTTTGTGGTTTGACCTTTCTGGGCTGTGGTTTTCTTTTTGAACATCTTTATTACTGTTTTAAGCTCATTATTTATGGCCTTTGTGTCAAAAATTTTTGTTTTATAATTTTTTTTTCCTCAAAAATTCTATGATAAAGTAAAACTACACACATTAAAAGCAATTATCACAATTACAAAATAAAATGACAAATGCATTCCACATTTAACCCAGGAATATTAACATTCTGAGAAGTTGCCTTTGTAAGTTTTTTTTTTAAGAAAAGATAAAACATAATATCAGCCAAATTCCTGACATAAATGTTAAATTTATATTTGACTATACACTAAATGTAGTTTATGCAATTGATGACCAAAACACTTTAGCTCTCCAAAACAAGAGGTTTACCCCCTCCCCCCTTAAAAAACCCCCACAAGATTACCCCCAAAATTATATAGAGGTTCATCTACACCCCCTCCCAACCCCTTCCAAAAATAATAAATAAATAAACTCCCTAGTATGAGAAAAAATGACATGTAGGGATCAAAATAACCATTAATCTCCGCAGAGCCTAGTAACTGCAGTAAATAGTTACCATAAAGCCAGATATTCCATTCTGTTATGGAAGCCCGCGTATGATTTTTTTTTATAGTCTTTATCATATAGGTAGCTGTTTTCACAGTAGAGTGTCAACCTAAATCTTATTTAAAACTGACTGCTCGTGAATATTGTAAAAAATAAATAAGGTAGACTTCTTTTTATAAGTGCATTGCACTTCTTTTAATCTATTGTGGTTAATATGATAACAGAATTTTAATTCATAATCTAAAATGTTTTGTTCATAAAACCTAACCAAACTGTCGCACTGTGAGTCAGGGGCAATTTTTGCTTTGTATTAAAATGCATGTCACACATCTTTGGCGTAAAATTTGACGTGAGATCTGACAATAAGTTTTTATATAATATAATTAAGAAATAATAAACCTAACAAAATAGATCCCCACCTCCCAAAATGAGTCACAGTAATTCACAGTAATGATTGAGAAAAGTGTTTTGTAATTTGTTTGTTCTTTACATATTTGAGCCGCGTCATGACAAAAACAACATAATGTGTTTGCGACAAGGAAGGATCCAGACCAGCCTGGGCATCCGCGCAGTCTGATCAGGATCCGTGCTGTTCGCTATCAGTTTCTCTACTTGAAATAGGGTTTGTAAGCGAACAGCATGGATCCTCATCAGACAGCGCGGATGCGCAGGCTGGTCTGGATCCATGCTGGTCGCAAACACACTATGTTGGTTTTGTCAGGATGCAGCTCATTTTATGTCATATCTCAGCAGTTGTCCCACATAACTTTCCTGGATAACAAACCAGTAATTACTAATTTCTCCACAAGTGACGGACTACTAATTCAGCATGAATTCTGGTTAAGCAGTGAGAGACAAATGACTATTAGACTCTATGTTGGGGATCAAAGAAATTCGGCCTCACCCAAGGATCAAACTCGTGTTTGAAATTAGAAATTTTGGAGAGAAGAACATTTAAACAATGTAACATTACATAAAATTTTTGGTCAGTTTTAATTTCACACTCGCACTATAAAGGTCATGTTGGCACCGTTCGGCTTTACTGTTGGGGACGGAAGACTTTAGGAACCCCTCAGAGCATTATTTCAAGAATTATTGAAAAGAACTGCCTTTCCATAATCTTCTTGTAAACGGTTTTCAACAGAAGAATTTCTGGCAGGAGTAAAACCTACAACAGTGAGGGGAAGGTGGTTTGAGGAAAGAAACCATAACAACTTAGCCAATTTAATGAAAGGGAGACATTCACTGCCAGAGAAACCAGTATGAAAGAAATACTTCAACATAAAATAATCACATTCTCAGCTATTTATCACTAATAATCATACAAAAATATTTGTCACTAATAATCATACTAACTATTTGTCACCAATTTGTCACCAATAATCGTACTTAGTTCTTAAACCAATTTTGAATGAATGTTTAGTTTTCTTCACAACTCGGCTCAACATATCATAAACTTTATCTGGAAATGCTTAGTGTAAGCAATTTTGATATGAAAATGCTGATATTAACCTATTTGTCCAGCGTCAAATTTAGGAACAATCCATTATCAAACAAGCAATTATCATAGTATTGCAAGCAATCCATAAGTCCCCTACCGGTTAGAACCCCAGCAACATTCTGATGGGCCATTGGCCATTCAATTTTACCAGTGGATGAATGACACGAATGAACATAAATCTTTTGAGTTCTAAGTTTGTCTATATCGCAGTAATGTGTTAAGTTTCCCTGCCTAGTAAGGAAATTATGTTTATACAACCTTGTCATGGGGATTTTAAAGTAAATCCTATAAGGAATGAAGAAGTTGGAGTGAAAAATACCAATTTCTCGAAAAAAATCTTAGTTCAAGGGGGAGATAATTCTGGAAATAGTCTTGCTAGAGTATTTAACCTCCTCAAAAATGTTGAGTGATAATAAGAAACATATATATGAAGTTTGAAGTAGATACATTAGGAAATAAAGAAGTTATTTAAACAAGAGCTGTCGGTAGGACAGCAACGCTCGACTATTCTTAGTGCTTGATAGTAAAAAAAAAATGCTTGATATAGTTACCTCCTCCTGTTTACAGGTTGGGGTCATGATGGTGAACAAGTGTGCAAAGTTTCAAAGCCATATGTCAATGGACTTTGAAAATATTTGAACTATTACAAAAACTTTAACATAAATTCCAAGTCCAAAAAGGGGCATAATTCTGTCAAAATGCTTGATAGAGTTACCTCCTCCTGTCTACAGGTTGGGGTCATGATGGTGAACAAGTGTGCAAAGTTTCAAAGCCATATGTCAATGGACTTTGAAAATATTTGAACTATTACAAAAACTTTAACGTAAATTTTAAGTCCAAAAAGAGGCATAATTCTGTCAAAATGCTTGATAGAGTTACCTCCTCCTGTCTACAGGTTGGGGTCATGATGGTGAACAAGTGTGCAAAGTTTCAAAGACATATGTCAATGGGTTTGAGAATATTTGAACTATTACAAAAATTTTAACGTAAATTCTAAGTCCAAAAAGGGGCATAATTCTGTCAAAATGCTTGATAGAGTTACCTCCTGCTGTCTACAGGTTGGGGTCATGATGGTGAACAAGTGTGCAAAGTTTCAAAGCCATATGTCAATGGACTTTGAAAATATTTGAACTATTACAAAAACTTTAACGTAAATTCTAAGTCCAAAAAGGGGCATAATTCTGCCAAAATGCTTGATAGAGTTACCTCCTCCTGTCTACAGGTTGGGGTCATGATGGTGAACAAGTGTGCAAAGTTTCAAAGCCATATGTCAATGGACTTTGAAAATATTTGAACTATTACAAAAACTTTAACGTAAATTCTAAGTCCAAAAAGGGGCATAATTCTGTCAAAATGCTTGATAGAGTTACCTCCTCCTGTCTACAGGTTGGGGTCATGATGGTGAACAAGTGTGCAAAGTTTCAAAGCCATATGTCAATGGACTTTGAAAATATTTGAACTATTACAAAAACTTTAACGTAAATTCTAAGTCGAAAAAGGGGCATAATTCTGTCAAAATGCTTGATAGAGTTACCTCCTCCTGTCTACAGGTTGGGGTCATGATGGTGAACAAGTGTGCAAAGTTTCAAAGCCATATGTCAATGGACTTTGAAAATATTTGAACTATTACAAAAACTTTAACATAAGTGGTTACGCCGACGCCGACGCTCGGGGTACTACAATAGCTCTACTTATTCTTATCGAATAGTCGAGCTAAAAAGACAACATTTTTTTTTCATAAAAATTCTAAGTTCAAGGGAGGTAATGCTGATAATTTTTGTGCTAGAGTTGTAAACCTTGTCACATATGATGTGGTTGATGGTCAGAAACTTATATTTAAAGTTTGAAGTAAATACCTTAAGAAATAAAGAACTTATAGTGAAAAAGCTGAAAAATTTAAATCAGAAATCTTGAAATTCAGGCTATTTGTTGCCATAGCAACCAGAATTTTCAACATAGGAAAAAAAGAAAAAGACGTGCATAATCTCCATACTGCCATCTATCCATATATCAAGTTTCATAAAAATATTTTCAGTACTTTTTGAGTTATCACTGGATCCAGTTTATGTGTTAAATTTGCCATATTTTCAGACTATTTGTTGCCATAGCAACCAGAATTTTCAACATAGGAAGAAAAAAAAAGACGTGCATAATGTCCATACTGCCATCTATCCATATATCAAGTTTCATAAAAAAAATTTCAGTACTTTTTGCGTTATCGCAGGATCCAGTTTTGTGGACGGACGGACTGACGGACTGACAGACAGACTGACAGACGGACGGACAGACGGACGGAGGGTAAACCTAAAGTCCCCTCCGGTTAAACCGGTAGGGGACTAATAAAGGGTGTCAAGGTAAAAATTTGAAGTTGGTCAGCCAACAGTATATACCCTGGTCAAACTGCACACCTGTGCGAGCAGGCCTGGCTTTAAACTGGTGGCAAAGGCAAATCACTTTCGGTTCCAGCAGGGTATGGGTTAAGATTTTGTTTTTGTTTGTTTGATTGGGTTTTATGTCACACCGAAACAGTAAAGGTCATATGGCGACGTTCCAGCTAAACTTATAAAGGGAGACCTCAAGTGACCTTCCGTGCATTGTTTCAGGCACCAAGTACCTGAGAAGAACCACCGACGTTCGGTTAGCTAGCTGGATAGCTTCCTCACATGAAAGAATCCAAAGTAAGGGTTAAAAGGCCAACAGTAAAAAGTAAAAATTCGTTTAAGAGCGAGCTGGCCTAGGACTATCCTGGTACCAGAAGCAAATTATATATACTATCCCATACCTCGTCAAATCTGTTTTGGTACCAATTATGTCTTTCTTCTATGGGCAGTTTTCTATGGAATATGTCAACACAGCAAGTGAAGCCATTTTTCTCCAGACATTTACACAAACTCAATACACGCTGTGTATGTTTTTTGTCGTCTGCTGCATACGTAACAAACACTTTTATATGCCAAAATGCTGAAAAATAGTAAAGATCATGTAAGAACCTTTCGAATACTACAAACTTATCTAAATAGAGGATATTGAATGAGTGTAGGTTCAATACTGAATTTATTGAACGAATTGAATAAAATTATATTATGCGAGCCACTGGCGAGCAAAATATTTTATTCAACATGTTCAATAAATTCAGTAATGAAACTACATGAATATCATATTCTATTTATCACATACCTCCCGAAAAAAAAATGTTATAAGTGCAAAAGAATAATTTTTCTTTGAGGCCCCTATACTGTAACCCTTACATTTTGCACATCTTTACACTATGTTTGCACAAAGCAAATGACTTCACATCAAAATATATGCATGACCGTGCAATACCATTTTTACAGAGTCGCAAAATTGGCATGAGTGTGTGATAAAACAAATTATTTCAAAACAAGCTGGCATGGCATTTTGTTTTCTTTAACTCTTGCTCTGAAAACTGCCTGTTTTGAAAACTGCCTGTTATCAAAATGACAAAACTAAGAGGCTAAAAGCAGAAACCAGTCAGATCACATCAGTGTGTCCATGCTGGCATGGTTTTGTACAGATGTCCTAGGTGTTATTATCAACATCACTGTTCAAAGTTTATATACTCAAATAGTCAATGAACAAAAAATATCCATAATAGGAATTTAAGTCTATGTTTTATGATATGACCAATTAATACAATAGAATAATCAGATTTTAAGAAATGTTACCTTTTCTGAACTCTGCTGACTTCATGTTGCCCGGCACAGATGCTGATTTTGTCAACTGCTGGGTCTGAGAACTACTTGTAGGGGACGTTGCGGCTGAATTTGAAGATGACTTAGATCTTAACGGAAATGTATTTGGTGGACCAGGTATCCTTGGACTTAACCTCATATGACCTTGACCCTCACCATGATGACCTTGGCCATGACCTATCATGCTTGGATGTTGCTGAGACATAAATTCCATTAGTCTATCAGGGGATTCTAGGTGCCCGGCTTTACCCTGGAGTAATTCCTCGTCGCGTTTTAGCTTCATCAGGTGTTTGTATCCATCTTCTGTCTGAATTGGCGTTTCATTGGCTAGTTTCTGTAAGTGCCCTAAAGGTGTAGATGGCGTGGTAGGTGTCGGACTTGGGCTAAAGAAGTCTGCTGACTTCAGTGATGGTGCCGGAATTTCTAACTTCAGACCTGCTCGTTCTGTCTGGCGACTGAACTGGTTAAAAGGCTGTCTGAAGAGATTCTCTGAATTGTTGGTGTGAACAGTTGAATTCATATGTGGCAACCCGTGCTGGTTGTTGTATCGGGCGATTCCTCTCATCAAGGCTGCCCCGGGTGGAACTGGATCTTCTCGAACCGAAGGGGCGTGGTCCATCGGTTCCATGTCACGATAGTATTGAGAATGACTATCATGTCCGCGTACCATCATACTGTCAGACAGAGGCATGGAGCGCTGTCGTTTAAGGTCGGGACTTTCATGCTCGTATCCAGGCAACCTTGTGTTTACACATTGAGGTTCAAAGCTGTTATGTCTTTGGTAATTTTTACACGGTGAAGAAACCGGAATCTGTTGGTTTCCAGGAAACATTCTGTAACTGTTTCCAGGAGACATAGCTGCAGTCTTATGATGGTTTTGAGTGTATGACTGGAATGCCTCTTTGGAGTAGGGCATATTGTCGCACGTAACACAGACGTAGTCGTCCTCGATGAGATCTCGATGCCGATGTTTTTTATTTAAGCTGTCACGATAACTCTTCTCAATTTCTGTGAGATAGAAATAGATTTAGGCACGATCATTACTATATTCAATAGAAAAAGGAAAATGAATACTCTCATCAGTTTATTTGTCAGCTTATTTATATAAATATAAAATACATTAAAGGGACTCCACTACGGTTTTTCGACATACTTTTGTAATGGGAATCAAAAATTTTTTTTCCAGATTTTTATACCATTTGATGTAGGTCTATACCAAAAGACTTGTGTGCTTACTCTGTTTTTATAGAATAATGTTTTTTATCGTACAATAATACATTATTGTACTTAAAAATTAAAAGTGCTTAAATTCTTTAACTCAAATCGGGCTAAGAATCAATTTCAATTTATATTTCTTTAACAAGTTTTTTATATTTTTTCATTTTAATTGATCTACGGAATATGAGATTTTTCATTTAGACCTCAGTGTAGTCCCTTTAAATTAAATTTTGAATGCTAGGTCAGGGGTTGTAAAAACGAAGATTGACAACAAATGAATAAAAATTCCATTCTGTGCTTTTTTATCAACAAATCAGATTCTAGTTACATTTTACCACTTTACCCAGCTAACACTTTTTGAACTATCCATTATTAATTTTGGGGTAATCAATATAACAAGAGCTGTCGGTAGGACAGCAACGCTCGACTATTCTTAGTGCTTGATAGTAAAAAAAATGCTTGATACAGTTACCTCCTCCTGTTTACAGGTTGGGGTCATGATGGTGAACAAGTGTGCAAAGTTTCAAAGCCATATGTCAATGGACTTTGAAAATATTTGAACTATTACAAAAACTTTAACGTAAATTCTAAGTCGAAAAAGGGGCATAATTCTGTCAAAATGCTTGATAGAGTTACCTCCTCCTGTTTACAGGTTTGGGTCATGATTTTGAACAAGTGTGCAAAGTTTCAAAGCCATATGTCAATGGACTTTGAAAATATTTGAACTATTACAAAAAGTTTAACGTAAATTCTAAGTCGAAAAAGGGGCATAATTCTGTCAAAATGCTTGATAGAGTTACCTCCTCCTGTTTACAGGTTGGGGTCATGATGTTGAACAAGTGTGCAAAGTTTCAAAGCCATATGTCAATGGACTTTGAAAATATTTGAACTATTACAAAAAGTTTAACATAAATTCTAAGTCGAAAAAGGGGCATAATTCTGTCAAAATGCTTGATAGAGTTACCTCCTCCTGTCTACAGGTTGGGGTCATGATGGTGAACAAGTGTGCAAAGTTTCAAAGCCATATGTCAATGGACTTTGAAAATATTTGAACTATTACAAAAACTTTAACATAAATTCTAAGTCGAAAAAGGGGCATAATTCTGTCAAAATGCTTGATAGAGTTACCTCCTCCTGTCTACAGGTTGGGGTCATGATGGTGAACAAGTGTGCAAAGTTTCAAAGCCATATGTCTATGGACTTTGAAAATATTTGAACTATTACAAAAACTTTAACATAAGTGGTTACGCCGACGCTCGGGTGACTGCAATAGCTCTACTTATTCTTATCGAATAGTCGAGCTAAAAATCTAATGCACAGACATGCAGGCAGGCTGGCCTGGCTCTATACTCGTGATAAAGGTTAAACACTTTCAGTTCCAGAAGACTCAATGTTAAGATTTATATTTTGAGACCTTTGTAACATGCTTTTTAAGGCCCATTTAGAAACAATACTAGTGCTACCTTACACTTTAAATAAGAAGACAGCAGTTTTCTCAAACTATTAATAACTAGAACTATCACTAAATGTGATTAATACCCCCACAAGTCTGCTTCGGAAATGAGGATGTTACTAGTAACAGAATACCTTGTAATAGAATTGAAACATAGAGTTATGGTTGTGGGCAATTAAAGATAATTGTGGTTCATGTATGTTGCATTTCCTTTCAATGTGGTTGGCCATTGATGAAGTTTAATTGAATAACTCTGTAATAAGTCCAGAAAGACAAAGAAAAAGAACAAAGGGCAATAACTCTATAAATACTGAAGATAGAGTTATAGTTCTTGTGCACTGCACTTCCTCTTATTGTGCTTGACCATTGTATGAAGTTGTTTTGAATTCCAACCAGTACGTTTTAAGTTATGCTCCGGACAAGGAAAAGTAACAAAGGGCAGTAACTCTGTATTTTGTCAAAATGGAGTTATGGCTCTTGTGCACTGCACTTCCTTTTAATGTCCTTGACAACTGTATGAAGTTGTAGTGAATTCCAAACAGTAGTTTTCAAGTTATGCTCTGGACAAGGAAAAGTAACAAAGGGCAATAACTCTGTAATTAGTCAAGATGGATTTATGGTTCTTGTGCACTGCACTTCCCCTTATTGTGCTTGACAATTGTATGAAGTTGTTTTGAATTCCAACCAGTAGTTTTCAAGTCATGCTCTGGACAAGGAAAAGTAACAAAGGGCAGTAACTCTGTAATTAGTCAAGATGGAGTTATGGTTCTTATGCACTGCACTTCCTCTCAATGTGCTTGACCATTGTATGAAGTTATAATGAATTCCAACAATAAGTCTTCAAGTTATGGTCCGGACAAAAGAAAGCAATGGAAAAGTAACAAAGGGCAATAACTCTGTAATTAGTCAAGATGGAGTTATGGTTCTTGTGCACTGCACTTCCCCTTATTGTGCTTGGCCATTGTATGAAGTTGTTTTGAATTCCAACCAGTAGTTTTAAAGTCATGCTCTGGACAAGGAAAAGAAACAAAGGGCAGTAAGTCTGTAATAAGTCAAAATGGAGTTATGGTTCTTGTGCACTGCACTTCCTCTCAATGTGCTGGACCATTGTATGAAGTTATAATGAATTGCAACAATTAGTCTTCAAGTTATGGTCCGGACAAAAGAAAGCAATGGAAAAGTAATAAAGGGCAATAACTCTGTAATTACTTTAGATAGAGTTATGGTTCTTATGTACTGCACTTCCTCTCAATGTGCTTGACCATTGTATGTAGTTATATTGAATTCCAACCATTAGTCTTCAAGTTATGGTCCGGACAAAAAAAAGAAGGCAATGGAAAAGCAACAAAGGGCAATAACTCTGTAATTACTTAAGACAGAGTTATGGTTCTTGTGCACTGCACTTCCCCTTATTGTGTTTGACAATTGTATGAAGTTGTTTTGAATTCCAACCAGTAGTTTTCAAGTTATGCCACGGACAAGGAAAAGTAACAAAGGGCAATAACTCTGTAATTAGTCAAGATAGAGTTATGTTTCTTACACACTGCACTTCCTCTCAATGTGCTTGACCATTGTATGTAGTTATATTGAATTCCAACCATTAGTCTTCAAGTTATGCTCCGGACAAGGAAAATGCAACGGACAAAAAAAAAAGCAATGGAAAAGCAACAAAGGGCAATAACTCTGTAATTACTTTAGATAGAGTTATGGTTCTTGTGCACTGCACTTCCCCTTATTGTGTTTGACAATTGTATGAAGTTGTTTTGAATTCCAACCAGTAGTTTTCAAGTTATGCCCCGGACAAGGAAAAGTAACAAAGGGCAATAACTCTGTAATTAGTCAAGATAGAGTTATGGTTTTTGTGCACTGCACTTCCTCTCAATGTGCTTGACCATTGTGTGTAGTTATATTGAATTTCAACCATTAGTTTTCAAGTTATGCTCCGGACAAGGAAAATGCAACGGACGTCTGGACCGACCGACCGACCGCCCGACCGACCAACCGACCGACCACCGGGTGACTCCTATATACCCCCCCAAACTTCGTTTTTGGGGGTATAACAAACAATGTCATTGGTTGAAATTTGAAAAATTGCTTTATCATCCAATCATATCAGTTTTTACATTAGGCCTCCAAGTCATAAAACATATTCCTAAGCTCTGTCTCAAATCTCAGGATTTTCATTGGACATCAGTGTACATTCTGTACCAGTTTCTCACCAATCAAATGTCCTAGATTGCCTAAATTCCTTATTATTCCTTAATAAACCTAGGACCCCGGGGGCTTACCTGGAATTCCCTCTCTGAGTTCATCAAGAGCATCTGGTCTGTCGATTTCTTCTAGAGCGTCGTACACCTGATTGACAGTACTACCCTGTTTCTGGCTGTAGTCTTGTAACACTTTAATAGTATTCCTCCCATGTTGTGACTGCTGACTTTCGAACACCTGAAACGAAAATAAAACATTTTTTCAGCTTTGTGAATCATATTAAGGGTGTCACCTTTATCCATTTAAAGTCGGCACAGTCGGTTTTAAGGTAAAAACTGGTCAGGAAACTCTCTAACCGTTAACCAACTTACCAAGGTTAGTATTAGACATAATTGAGTACCAATTTTGAAAAAAAAAATTATACTAGTTTTTTTTATAACATTGAAGATATGACATTCTATTTGTATTTCAGCTGTTTTCCCCCGATTACATGCTATCTGATGGTGTATGGTACTGTCCTACGAGGAAACAGATTCCTTATAATCGTGATTTCTATTGTTTAATATCATTGTTGAGTACAACAAAATACAAACAAATTGTTGTATCTTGTCATGAAGAAACAAAGTTCATGTCGAAAATCTAATAGAAATTTATTACTACGCTCTTGTAAATTCACTTAATTTTATGGACATAAGATTTCATGGTTTTGTCACAAGGAACATTTTCGTGGGTACTTGAATTCTTGGACTGTTTATATTTCCCAAAAGGTAAATGTAAAAAATCTGATGAAAAATAATCATACAGCAGACGGAATGGAATTCCGTTGGATCTTAAATTTGTTGATTGACCTATCCACGAATATAAGTGCCCAATGAATAATAATAATTTTGCAGTATGGTGACCATTGAATGAATTTATTGAACAAGTTTAATAAAGTTATATAAAATCATTTTATGCAACAAGTTCAATAAATTTAGTTATGAACCTACACATTGATCAAATATTCAAAATAAGAACTGTTTACAGTAAAAAGAATTTTTTTTTTCATTGACACACTTAAAGTCTAATGCTAACATTTAGTGCATCTCTATGTTATGTCGGTTATGAAAATGACCGCACATACAATTTTTATGGAGTCGCAAAAGTTGCACAGTTATATGTTCCATCAACAAAGGTATTACATCATATGAATGGTTTTAGTATAATTGTTGGGCCATTATTCGGTCCTCTTCATGAGCATTACCAACAAGAATGGTGTCTTCAAAATATATAAAACTATTATGTATGACTTTAAAGGGACTCCACTGAGGTTTTTTGACATGATGGGACTGAAAATATTTATTTCAAGATAAATGTATCATTTGATGTAGGTTTAGACCACTAATCTTTGTGCAAAATTTCAGATAATTCGCGCACTTCATTTTTCCAGAATATTTATTCAAATTGTAAAACTAGAACTCCGCGAGTCGGATGTGTCGCCTTGTGAACAATGTAGTTTATGAGAAATGGCCAGGACAAAAATGAAATATGAAAAATAACAAAGGGCAATAACTAAAAAAATAATAAGTGCAGAGCAGCAGTTTCTGTGCACTGCACTTCTTATCAATAAGATCTATCATTCTATGATGTTTCAAGTCCATAGCTTTCATACTTGAGGAGAAATGACAAGGACAAAATTAAAGTATGAAAATAAACAAAGGGCAGTAACTCAAAAAATAATAAATGCAGAGTACCTGTTCTTGTGCACTGCACTTCTTCTTAATGAGACCTATCATCCTATGAAGTTTCAAGTCCATGGCTTTTATACATTAGGAGAAATGGCCCGGACAAAAATAAAGTATGAAAATTAACAAAGGGCAATAACTCAAAAATTAGGAAGTGCAGAGTACCTGTTCTTGTGCACTGCACTTCTTCTTAATGAGATCTATCATCCTATGAAGTTTCAAGTCCATAGCTTTTTTAGTTGAAGAGAAATGGCCCGGACAAAATTAAAGTATGAAAATTAAAAAAATAAAGTATGAAAATAAACAAAGGGCAATAACTCAAAAAATAATAAATGCAGAGTACCTGTTCTTGTGCACTGCACTTCTTCTTAATGAGACCTATCATCCTATGAAGTTTCAAGTCCATGGCTTTTATACATTAGGAGAAATGGCCCGGACAAAAATAAAGTATGAAAATTAACAAAGGGCAATAACTCAAAAATTAGGAAGTGCAGAGTACCGGTTCTTGTGCACTGCACTTCTTCTTAATGAGATCTATCATCCTATGAAGTTTCAAGTCCATAGCTTTTTTAGTTGAAGAGAAATGGCCTGGACAAAATTAAAGTATGAAAATTAACAAAGGGCAATAACTCAAAAAATAAGAACTGCAGAGTAGTGGTCCTTGTGCACTGCACTTCGGGTTATTGAAAGAAGCATGCATACCAAGTTTGAAGTCAATCAGACTTATAGTGACTGAGTTATGCTCCGGACAAGCTTTAGGGGACGCCGACACCGACAGCGACAACGACGCCGCCGACACAGACGCCGACACCGCCGACGAAAGTAACCCCTATATGTCACCTTTTCAAGGCGACACAAAAATGACCCAAAATGAAAAGTGTTTTAACGCTTTTCACTCAAATCCTTCTAATAAAAGCATAAAAATATGATTTTCAATTTATTTCGAAGTATATTTCTTAACTATCTTTGCATATATTTCTGTTTTAAAGTGCCCCAGCTCATTTATGTAAGAAATTTAAATGTTATGTTTTTATGCTTTTAAACCACAGAAGAGTCCCTTTAATGTCGAACAGTGCAAACATCATGTGCCCCACTTTTCAAATGGACCGTTCCAAATTCAAAGCAGGGCAAATCCATTACAGGTTTAGGGACAAAGTCAATACTTCCCTAATGAAACGTATATTGTAATATTATTGTTAATAAACAAAAATTTAATTATTCTCTAACAATGTACAAAAAGACAGCAGTTTCCCATATTAAAATACAATTTTTTTTCTCATAATTCATTTAAAACAAAACTATTATATTTGCTGTTGGCTTAACCATAATTCTAGACATTCAATTAAATTCACTTTTCACCTATTGTTATCTGGCAAAAAAAAAATCAAATAATCAAATGTAAAACCCATTATCTCCCCAGCAGCCGGAAACTCTCTGTTAAAAATGTTAATAATTTCCAGTAAATATTTCACGAGAGCTTTTCAAGGACACTTCCTTGTAAACGCCTTGTTTTAAAATGAGGAAGAAAATCAAAGTGACGGTGGAAAAAAATTCATAAAAGGTAATTAGGACAGTCTTTTGGAAGCCCTCCGTTACCACCATTGAGTCAAGTCTGCTTTTACCCGTATCCTGCTAAATTTATGAAATGGAATTGCCCAGCTTTGAATTTGGACCAGTCAATTCGAAATTTAAGGGATGTCAACATGAAAATACAAAAATTGAGCTGCTAATGGTACAGGGCCTGGTTAGACTTTAGCCGACTGTAAACTCATTTGTTGTTGTTGTTGTTTTATACTAGTATAGTACAAATACAAAAAATTTGACCTTAATCTTCAATATCTTTTTAAACATCTTTTTTCGTAATTAATTTTGTGTCAAGAATATGAGAAAGTTAACAATTTACAGTTTAAGATGACTTTTGAAACATTGTCAAGACTTAACACAAATGTATAATTTACTTACAATGTTTATATATTCTTCTTTAATATTTTTTTCTTTAACTACTAGTATTCATTTATTATGATTCTTTACTACTAGTATTTGTAATTATTTTGTTGTTTATCATACAGTTTGTTTGTAAATGTTTATATCATGTACATTGTATATTTGATAGCAGACTTGGCATGCCCAACTGTGTTGCCTCTTAAAGTCATTATTATTATTACTATTACTATTACTATTATTATTATTATTTCTATTATTATTATTACTTTTTTATTATTATTATTATTATTATTATTATTATTATTACTATTATTATTATTATTATTATTATTATTATTATTATTACTATTTTTATTATTATTATTATTATTATTATTATTATTATTATTATTATTATTATTATTATTATTATTATTATTATCATCATTATTATTATTATAACATTGACACTGGGGACTTTAGAGCTTTTACTGGAAACAAGCTAGCTAGAATTTAAAAAGCCTACAATAAGTAAGAATCCAAAAGCCCTTAGTAAAAATAAATTAAAAATTGAAAAAAAAATAATGAAAAAGACTATAACCAAACACTTCCTGTTGAATTATAGGCCGTTTTCAAAGTTGAATTTAATTTCAAAGCTTTGGATAATCTTGATTAAAATCAAGATTAATTTTATGGTTAACCACTCTTCCTACACCAGGAATTTATGATATCTATAAATAAACTAAGAGTATTTTGATTGTTTTAAAAACAGCAATTATTATACTTTTACTTCAGGGAAGATATTAATTTTTTTTTGAAATATTCATAAGAATAAATTTTAAACCTTCTTAACAAAATCCTTACAAAAATAATTTTCAATGTCCTTTCTTCAGGAAATTTTATCTGATGTTTTAAGAATGAAACTGCATGTTACTAAGAATGACACCATTTCACTGTTATAAATTCACATGATATTGTAAGAAAATAGTGAATGATAAAATGACCTTATTTTCCATGAATAATTGTTTTATTTCTAAGTAAAGAATTTAAAATATGGTAGAATATGCAAGAAATATATTCTGATGTGTTTCAGTTCAGAAAGGAATATATCCCGAGGGCATCCCACCCATTGGGCAGTAACGAGGCTTGCCGAACTGCAACATATGACAGATATTATTATTCTATCTGCTTTACTTACATCTAAATAAGGAGACAAATAATTATAGTAATGATTTTAAGATAATAAACACTTTATACAGAACTTCCTTTCTGAACATAATTTATTTTCAGCACTGAAACAGGAGTTTTTATGGGAATTAGGTAGTCAATTTTTTTCACATTATCTTCAAAATTACTTTATTTGTTTTGGACAAATAATAATGTTTTAATAATGGATTTAGAGCATGTTAGATGTTTAACAACTGAAGGATGTAGCACTGAACATGCAGTAATTTGTCATAAAGGTAGCAAAATGTAAACAAAGTAGTATTTTGACTTCTATACAAAATACTAAATTATATCAATTGTCAGCTAAGCAACAAGAGCAAGATATAGTTCATCTATGTGACAAATGATTATTGTTTGGAAACT